TTAAATAATAATAAATGTGTATTTAAAGTTTTTAAAATTATTATCAATGTTATGGATACCTTGAAACAATTATAAAATACATGGTTAGTTTGAACCATATAAAAAATTATTRTAATAATGTTGGTATATCATATTATACCCATGCTATTATATTATGAATTTAGCAATTATAAAATTGCATCTAGAAACTAATTATGATTTATTATAGACAAAAATTATTAGCATTGTAATTCAGTTAAAGACTTGCATGGTTAACATCACTTTATGATACTTTCTTCAATTAAAATTGCTATAAATTAGTTTTTAATAATAAAATCTCTTGTTACTATTAGGCTTAAATTACCTATTTATATACATATATTTTTATGTTGTATAAAACAATTTAATTGAGAATATAATTAATAAGTGTCGCTGGTTACCCTCAAAGATATTTTCATGATGTCCATGTATTTGTTTTTTTAATATCAAATATTTGTTCTTATAATTTTCTTATAATACACCATATTATGCTAAATGCTTATTATATTCCTTAGCAAAGAATCAAATCTTTTATAATGTAGTGTGGTAAAAAAAAAATTTCAACTACATTTTGTTTTGATCAGATTGTTAATACCTATTTWGTTTAAATTAAGTTTTACATAAAATGTTTAGTTAAAATTATTATATAATATCTATGGTAAAAATTAATTTGGTCTTAATTATTTTTAAAATTTTAGGTAACCTGGTTGGTGACAGCCTTGTTGTAGATTTGATTGATCGAAATTTAGATAGACCAGAGTGTAGACAAGGATTCTTATTAGATGGTTTCCCACGAACAGTTCCTCAAGCTGAAAAAGTAAAAACAAAAAAATCTAATAATTTTCAATAACTTAATTTTAACTATAACATTTAATTGTCCTTTCAGTTGGACAGTCTTCTAGAAAAACGRAAAACACAGTTGGACTCTGTGATTGAGTTTAACATAAGTGACAGTTTATTGGTACGCCGTATAACAGGGCGTTTGATTCACCCTGCTAGCGGTCGATCTTATCACGATGAATTCCATCCCCCAAAAGTTAATATGAAAGATGATGTAAGCTTTATTTAAATTATGATTTAATATTTTGATAATTAAATTTTTTAACATAATATAAAGGTTTATCTGCAACTTTTAGGTAACTGGCGAGTCTTTGATACGTCGCGCTGATGATAATGTGGATGCTCTAAAAAAGCGTCTTGAATCATATCACAAACAAACATCTCCATTGATAGATTATTATCAGAAAAAAGGTTTGTGTAATTTATTAATCATAATTAAAAACAAATATTTAAATTATTATATTGTTTTAGGAATTCATTCTAAAGTTGATGCCTCTAAGAGTTCTGATGAAGTTTTCAAAATGGTAGAAGATATATTTTTGCGTTGTTCAAGTTCATCAAAAAAAGACAGAGTAATATTTGTTTGAATCATTCCAATTTTGAGTTTTAATGTTTGAGGTTTTCAAAATGTTGGACGTACAAAATCATACTGTTTTCCATTTTCTCAATAACTTTAGTAATTATAATTATAATAAAATGATCTGAAATTGTAAATCTTTTTTAATAGAAAATGGTATATTATTCAGTGTTTTCTATTAACAAATAATAATTATTTTAGGTTTAATTTAAACAAAAACCAGTGATTTTGGGAAGTAAGTATAGTTATTAAATTTAACATATTTGGTGTACTTACTAAGAAGCTTTTACGGGTTTAATATATACACATTTTGTTTGRTTAATTTCAATTTTATATGTGCTTAATATGTATGTAGGTATATGTATGTATATAAATTACAATTAGCTTATATAAATATTAAAATTAAAAGGTACTTTAATTTTTACTAAGGTTGCCATTATTTTATTATYTTAATGTAGTGGTTTTTTCAACTTTATTATATTAACATCCTATGTGTAATACACAAATATAAATTTTTTATCAGGGGTAAAATGCATTTGTATAAAGTGAAATCTCTGAATACTGCTCACTTTCTGCACTGAAATTTTTTCAGCTACTCAGAGGGTTCAGATCATAAAATTTCGTYGTTGGTTTTCAAGTAAACCATTGGGATACATCTGTTAGGGGAAGTTTCACTGTATATAATATATATTTGCAGTGATTATAATAATTATTTATATATTTTATTAACAATGTCAACAGCTGATCCTAAAATAAATAGCAATATGTTATTATTTTAACATTTATTTTATACCTAGCTTTATTTGGTAAAAAATGATGTTGAAAAATAAAATACACCTCTTAACAATTAAATTATCTATGAAAATTATAAAAAGTAATGTAATGAGGAATACTATTCACAAATCACAAACAATTTTACAGGTAATTTAAGTAGTTAGAGACGTGTATTTATTTTTTCAGCWACATTTTTACCCTACTTTACTGGTATGAAATAAATGTTAGAGCATTTAAAATTATATTATTACTATTTATTACATAACCAGCTGTGTTTACATAGTTAACAAAATACTTAAATATATAAATTGTTATTTATTAAAATGCTTGTAAATTACATTGCTTATTGCTTTTTGYGATTTTTATTTATTTATTCCTATGGCTTAAACCATAATATAATAGAAACAAGGATGTACTGAATGAATTCTTCTCGTTGAATAATTTATTCATTATTGTTTAAGGYGTATTAATTAATGTTAATCCTCCTAAACAGGCTTGTTAAGTCCATTTTCCTTATCGAAAAACTAGGTTTTAATCACGACCTATTTACCTAACATACAAATTATATCACGAAAAATCTGAATCAAAATTGTAGGAAATTATAAACATTAAAGATATAAATATAATATCTGAGTGCAGCGGTGGTTGGCTTCAGTCACTAACGCCGAGGTTCTCAAACTTTTCAGGCTAGATTACTTACTTTGGTCAACCCCAGACGCAAATTTCACAAATCTTTTTGTGTCCTAATCTAAACTACCAATAAAATGTTGATTTTTAAAATTTTCTTCCCCCCCCTCCCTTTAAGTTTTCGTGGCCAATCGAAGTGTCGGGACCCATACTTTGAGAACCGCTGCACTAACGTGTTCAGCATCAACCTGTATCTCTAGTTCCCAGATGCGTGACCACYCCGGTTTTTAGTGCAAAATCCTCGTCACATATACATTTGTTTTAAACCAACCGTATCCTCCCCCCATTAATAAACCTACTAAATTACCCAGGCTTATGACCTCAGATGTTGAAGCCCTAACTTAATAAAAACAATATACCTAGGCAATATTTATGCAGGAAACTAGCGATAAAACCTGACGACGAAATTCTTATAAATGAAATAATAAACGCGTAATTGATGGTTTATCAATCTTTTTTCTCCACRCTTAATTTACATAGATCATATTATGAACGCTATTTATTCTTTTRAGCTTAATTCCTTTTTTCCATAAAAAAAATCCAAAAATAAAAGCATAATCACTTGGTTACACTGTGTTGAATGGTTAATGGAAAAACAGTGTAAGAGATTACAATTTGGAAACCTGACAAAAAGCGACCAAGACAGCGGTGGATTGATCGAGTTATAGGGAAGATCTCAAGCTCCTGGAAATTAGAGATGGAGACAATTTTTTATAAAARTTGGGATGCATGAAGAGGTGTAGTCGAAGAAGCGATGGACCTATAAGGCCTGGAATAAACAAAAAAAAAAAATGTTTACTTGTGCCAATTTTAAATTAGTATTCATGGTACCTATTTATAAAATAGATATTAGAAATAGTATATTTCGTTTGGTTAATGATATAAGATATTTTTATTGCTAATTGGTATAATAGTATCTAATATAGATGGGGGAGGGGTCGCAAWGTGATTGKCCATATTTTATACCTATTTTAGGCGGTTACGTAACACTAAAAATGTTACGATGACCTACGTATWAATATATTATACTATCTATACGACAAATGGCATGTAAACTATATATATATAAGACCAGAGGCGTACTCAGGAGTTTTCAAATGGGGGGGGGGGTTGAACATTTTGTTTTTTATTACTGGGATTTTGTCTCCTTTTTAAAAATATTCTTATTTACCTATCTAATCTTACAGTTCTTAACAGATAATGCATGCAATCGTTGTATATTGCATGTTGACATACGATTTAAAAAATATATATTTTGTTTATTTTATCCCTCAAAAAAAAATTTTTTTTTAGAAAATTGCTCCTTT